AGAGAGAGAGAGAGAGAGAGGGAGAGAGACAGAGAGAGAGAGCAGATTCTTTTACAAAATTCTGATGTAAAGGTAATTGAACTAGAACATTGATAACCCTATGCTCTTTGAAGGAGTCAGCAAATGGTGAAATAAACGACTATATTCATAAATAACACCAGTACAGATCGATTTGATCAGAAGTCCACATTTACCGTCACAGATTGCATGTGGCATGCTTTCAAAAAGTGTGAATTGGCTATTTTCTACTTTTCGAACAAGATTGGATCAAGCAGGTCTAACTAATCGGACCTGAGGGCACTCCATATAACAGTGTCAGCAGTCTTTGTGCCAACAACAAGGCAGTGCCCACGTTATCAAGTTGAGTCGTTTTTTTCCCTCGACCCATGAACTCAGAGCAGGCGCTGTATAGTCGCGCGGAGCCCATTCGATTCTACTATTCGACAGTCACGATATTTTCGCTATTCACTGCAATTCGAAGTGTGCAAGAGACACTCGAATGCCGTGTGATTTTTACGGACAGTTGATTTTCATTTCACTTTCCTCAATCCGACGCAAAATTAGAGCATATTGTACGTAAAATAATTTGGGGGAAATGAAACACAGTTTGAATTTAATAATTAGAAAACAGAGTGACAAGTGGGTCCAGCGAGAGTTACGAAACATGCCTCTCGAATAGCTCGAATAGTGACTTTACGCTTCGAAGCAACGATGGAGTTTCGTTTCCTCAAAATCGCACAGCACTGCAGTAAGACAGACCGATTGGTGTGCGTGGCACTTGTGAACGCTAACTAAACCGTTTCATATGTCGGCGAGCGCGCTTTCGTTGAGTGTACCAGATCTACGCGCCAGTAGAAGTCTGCTGGACTCACTCGGTCATCGCTTCTACGTTAGCTGTCAGTTTTGATAACAAAGCGAAATGGAGTAGACAGAGCATTCTTCTTTCATCATCGCGAACGGAAACTTTGGTGTTGGCGAGGTACGGATGTGAGCAGTTTCTAGTTTCAGTGAAGACCCCTGAAGAGATTAACATTTACCGCCGTTTTTGTTTGTGTTGTGAAAACGGTTCTACACTAATAACTTGATTTGACATATAT